CGGCATTCAGATGGATCCCATTCCAGGTCAGGCCCATTGGCAGATCGGCGGGATCGAGAGGCTCATCGGGCTCATCAAGGATACCATGACGGTGCTGGCGAAGGAGCATCCTGGAATATCGTGCGAGGAGTACCTGGCCAGGGCTATGGCGGCGTACAACGAGTTCGACCGACACCGAGGCTTCTCTCCTCTTCAAGTGGCACTGGGACGAGCACCAGATCTAGATGGTGCGTTCATCGACGTTCCGGGTGACCCAATCAACCTTCCAGCGCTGGAGTCGGAGTCCATAGACAAAGAGTTCGGGAACAATTTCAAGCTCATGAGGAAGGCGCAGGAGGAGCTCCTGAGGTGGATCTACCGCGAGCGAGCTGGACGAGCAGCACATACCAGATCTCGACGTCTTCGAGTGTACACACCCGGCACCCTGGTCTACTACTTCAGGAATCCGAAGAGCAGCTCTATGACTGGGCGTGTCTACGGTCCTGCACGCGTGCTGGCTAGCGAGATTGCCCACAGACGCGGTGAAGCTAAAGCTCGACCGAGAGTGTGGCTAAACGCATGCGGGCGTCTCATCAGATGTGATCTTTGTCAACTGCGAGATGCCTCTGATCGCGAAATTGCAGAGCATGGGATACTACACGGAGCTGAACTACCCTGGACGTTCAACCAGCTAACGAGCAATCTGAGACCAGGTCAATACGAGGATCTGGCGGAGGACGAGCGTCTCATACCTTCTGATCGTGATCATGATGAAGCCACAGTGGTGCCTCCTCTACCTACTGTTGTGGAAGAAGACCAGCCACCACGTCATCGACTACATGGCAAGCGGAGCCGTGAAGAACATGAACAGCGTTCGAAGGCCCCGAAGACGAGCAGCAGTACACATGGGATATCTTCATCGGATGTGGCGGGGACCTTTCCAGCGACACCTGCGAGACCACCAAACAAGTCGAGAACTCTATCGACGAGGAGCTCTCCGCATGCCTGGGAAGGTCTGCCGACATCATCGTCTGCCGTCGGAGACTATGGCAAGGACAAGTCAGCCAGGCAGTTGGCGAACGACGAGAAGGAGCAGAGAGCGTTGCTGGTCGAGAGCGAGTCCGAGTCGTGCTTCTGGGCCAAGGAAGATAGCGCCGTCGAGATCGAGATCGCTCTTCCGGAAGGGGCCAGAGTCTGCACGGCCGCGCGAGATCTTGGAGCTTTCGTGGCCACTCAACTGCGTCGACAGCGAGCTGAAGTACGAGAACGTTCTTTGTCGGTAGATGACCTGGCGAAGTTCAAGAAAGCTAAGTCCAAGGAGGCGCAGGAGTGGATCAAGGGGATGGTCCTGGAGGCGCTGCCCGAACATGTCCGAGTGCCAGCCGATCGTATCATGCGGCTTCGGTGGGTTCTGACGTGGAAAATCGGTCCATCAGAACCTGGAGGGCGAAAGGCCAAGGCTCGTCTCGTCATTTTGGGTTGCCAGGACCCCGACCTGACCACCGAGGAATAATATGCACCGACGGCAACTCGGACAGCAAGGCAGGTTTTCCTTCAGAAGGCGGCTCATCTACGAATGCGGGTGGCCAAAGGCGATGTAAAGTCGGCGTTTCTACAGGGTGAAGAGCTGGATCGTGATCTATTCGTGAAGCCGACTGGAGATATTGCAGAGTTCCTCGGACTTCGACCTGGACAGGTGGCTATCCTCAAGAAGTCAGCATACGGTTTGGTGCAGGCCCCTCGGGCGTGGCACCAAGCAGTGAACAAGAAGTTACAAGAATTGGGTTGGCGACAACTGGAGTCAGATCCGCGCGTGTGGTTTCTGACGAAGTTCATCTCGAATAACCAACCTGATCACATCATCGGCATGGCGTTGTCACACGTGGATGAGTTTCTCTTTCCAGGTCGTGACGGAGAACATCCGTGCCAAGAAGTCGATCATGAACGCTTTCAGATGGACCGAGTGGGAGTGCGGTACGTTCACGCAGTGCGGTGTGGACATCCACCAGCGCGAGGACTACAGCTTTCGGCTGGACCAGAAGACCTACCTGGAGCAGATCGTGGAGATCGAGGTGCCTCCAGACAGGAGGCGACAGCCATCGTCGCCCGTCACTTCATCAGAAAAGAGTCAGTTCAGAGCGGCCACGGGTAGCCTCCAGTGGAAGGGCACGCAGACAGGGCCTGACATCCTAGCAGAGCTGAGTTTGTTGCAGAGCAGGGCAGAGTCGTGCACCGTAGATGATCTCTTGAAGGTAAACAAGTTGATCAAAAGGGCCAAAGAGGGTAACAACAGGTTCCTGGAGGTGTTTTCGTTTCCAGCGAAAGAGTCTTTGGCGGTCATAGGCTGGGGCGATGCGGCGTTTGCGAACCGAGTTGAGGGAAAATCCACAGAAGGCCGAGTTCTTGGGATAGTTCCGGAGTCGTTTTTGGACGGAATCGAGACGGGGGTTTCATTGATCAGTTGGCGTTCTGGGAAAGTCGAACGGACATGTCGATCCCCTCCGGCGGCCGAGGTATCAGCGACAGTAAATACGGAAGATGAGCTCACGTTTATTAGGTTTATGCTTTCAGAACTCTCTGGATGGCGACCCGATCTTCGAGATCCCTGGGCCCAAGTTCGACGAGTTCCTGGGTGTTTGGTCACGGACTCGAAAAACCTGCACGGCAGACTGAGGTGCCCCGAGAAGCTCTTGGGGGGCAAAGAGTTCCGGACGGGTCTCGAACTTCTAGCACTGAGAAACGGCATTGAGGCTTGCGCGTGTCCGGTTAGATGGGTACATCGTGATGCAATGCTAGCGAATAGCTTGACTAAAGGCCATGAGCGTTGGCAACTAGATTTGTTTTTCAGTAACGGTTGTAGACGGCGTTTAGTTTATGACCAGATGTTCGAGTCCTCTAAGAGGTGGAAAGGTCAAGGTATTCCTGCCCTAGAGACTGTACTGTGACCGAGTTAGATTTCCGCCCGGACCGTTGGGGAAGCCTCGAAGAGTCTCCGAAGGACTGAATTTTCTGTCTCTGCCACTCGTTGCTGGTCGATCTATGGATGTGAGCGAAGATGTTTTTGGGTCGGTGTCGATCCTGCGATCTCGGAACGCGTTTAATGTTCGCTCCATCCATAGCCATTGCGCTGCAGGCCTATCGCGGGACCAGGGGAGTCCCGGGGCCTTAAGAGGCCCCCCGTCTTTCTCCTACCTTCTATTCAATCGAGCCCAATACACTGCACCTCTCCCTCTCCCAACATATCGTGTGCAGACAGCGTGCTGGTGACGAGTACTGTGCGGTGCGCGAGGCGCTGCGAGAGAGAAAAGATTGCGCGGGGCTGCTGGAGGAACAGCCCGAGGGACGAGGTGTCATTACCCTGTGAAGCTTCGCTTCACACCCCCCCCCTTCTCTGCCGCATGGTTCCTCCATGCATTCAAACTGAGCACGGGGGCGGGGAGCGCGGCGGCCCTGCCAGTCGCGCGTTGTGCTTCAGCTTGCAGAATTGGGCCAGGCCGCTGTGGGCGCGGCGGCGGAGTCACCGCGCGCGTGGCGTGCTCTCCTTCAGAAGTGGCCGGCGTCGTCGCGCGCCGCGGCCCTGCCACTGCGCGCATTGTGTTCCCCGCGCAGACCGGGCCAGCGTTGCCGCGCGCTCGCTGGCGCCGCCGCCGCCGCCGCCGCGGCGACGCCGCCGCCCGCGCGTTGGGCGCGTCGGCTTCGCCCCTTCGCCATCTGATTTACTTTGGTTGGAGTTGGCCAGGGCGCCGCGCGAGCGGCTTCCCTGGCCCCCCGCGCGCGTTGCCGCGTCCTGTTCGCATGGGCAAGGGCCGCCATGGCGGCGGCCCAGGCCCCTCGCGCGCGGCGTCGTTCTCTCCGCGATTCGCTGAAGCCGCCGCGCGGCGTTTCTGGCCCGCCGCGTGCTGTTTCTTGTCGCGCAGAATTGGGCAGCGCGCGCGGCGCCCCGCCCCCTCGCGCATAGGTTCTCTCCCCAGCGCGGCTTCGACCAGTGCCGCAGCGCGCGCGGCGGCCCGCCAGGTCCCTTATGAATTGCGCACGCGGCCCAGGGCCGTTGCGGCGGCCAGCGAGCCCGCTTCGCAAGCGCGGGGCAATGGGCCCGGGGGCCGCCGCTCGCACCCCACCTCTCCCGCGCCCCGTCTCTGGACGCTGGTGCGTGCATCCTCGTTTCCTTCAAGCATGATAAGTTTGTTCTCCAGGGTCTCTCATCGTGTTGTTATGTGTTCTCCCTGGTCCCTTTGCAGGATCTGCAGATTTCCCATTGGCTCTCCCGCAGAGGCCTTGCCTGCTCTCCTTCGCCAGCCGAATGTTTATTCTTTCGATTTCGTTGACCCCGCCCTGGATCTGTATATTTCCTGCGTGGGCGTGGCGCAGAATCCCCATCCTATCTATCAGTGCCCACAGCAAAACTTCCGATTGCCTCGCCGAGGGGGCCAGTGCACTGCGACGCGGCAAGTGCCGTCCGAGCAGCTCCTGGCGTCGCGGCAAATTTCTTGCCGAGGCAAGCTCGCCGCGCGATTTGATTTGAAATCTGCCTTCAAACTGCCTCGCGCTGACAGCGGGCCCCCCTTGCTCGCGGGAAATATGCAGGCCCCCCCGGGACTTACGAGGCAGGAAATTCTGACCATTTCCGTCTGTGACGTATTGGCGCCCCCAACGGGCCTCGCAGGTCCCCGCGGCTTGCGTTGGTGACCACTTGGGGCCCCCAAGCAGCCTCCCGAGATCACCAGCGCTGCAGGTTCCCACAGCTTGCGTCGGTGACCAGGTGGGGTCCCCCAGCGGCGCCCACCGGTCAGAGGTCCCCGCAGCTTTCGTCGGTGATCTTCTGGGCCCCCGCCCGGCGGCCTCGCGGGGTCATCGGCTGGAGGCCCCCGCGCCTTGCGTCGGTGACATTCTGGGTGCCCCGCGCTGCCCCCTGAAGTCGCGGGCTGGAGGCTGCAGCTTGCGTCGGCGACCTCCTTGGGCTCTAGGCGGCGCGAGGCAGGGCTCTTCATTCAGACTTGCACATGGGGCATCGGTGGCGCTCGTCAAAGGTATGAGCGGTGCGCGGTGCAGTTGGCAGAGCAAAGCTGGCGCGCGTCTAGCGTGGCGCTGCAGATCGAGCTGGCCCGCGGGGCCCCGTGTTTCCCGTGGGGCGCAGTGGGGTTGGAGGCATTGCCCCGTCTAGCTCTGCGCATCCTATGCATCATTCTGTGCTTCGGCAGGATGTTCTCTGTGCCGTGCGCCTCTTCATGCAGTCGAAAGCGCTCGGCGTGGGCTCGCCGCAACTGCGCCGACCCTTCGCGCGAGCCAACACGCCCCTGCTTTGCCGCGCAGATCATGTCCAGCGTCGCGCACGCAGCTTGGAACGAGGCCGCCTGTTCGTCGAGCGCCACGCCGAGAAAGTGCGGGGGGGGAGGGGGGGGCGAGAGGAGAAGATAGGCGGAGGAGGAGGAGGTAAGAGAAGAAGACAGCTAGCCTGAGAATCGCATATATGCCAAAGAGCTCTGACGCAGAGACCCTGATCTTGCCCCCCCTCGGGGCACGGCACCCGTCGAATATCCTGCGCAACTCTTCCGACTTCGCCCCCCCATGCAGGGAACGGCCACCCGTCCTTCATGTGGTCTCGGAGATCCTCTAATTTTTCCTGGAAGTGCCGCCGGCCCAGGGTTCCGTTTTAGTTGGTGGCCCTGTCCCCGGTGCCTCAATTGAGGTGGGCCGGTGGATTCTTTCTCTAATAAATCGAGGTCGAGGTGGGCCGGCGGATTAAAGTTCGAGGATGTCTCGAGCGAAACGCTTCTTGTTCAGAATTTGTTGAAGATGTCTCGAGCGAAACGTTTGTTTTGTGTTATAGCTTGTCCTCTCCTGGGGGCCAGAATTCAGAGCATCTTTGAATTGAAATGCTTGTTTTCACGTGCCCAGGTCTTGAGGATGTGCCCAGGCAGAGGTCTAACGCCAGGATTTGTCGAGGATGTCTCGAGCGAGACGCTTGGTTTCACGCGTTTTCGTCGCCCAGGCGGATGTCTAGCATGTGGATGTGTTGACGAAGTTTCGATCGAGATGCTTGTTTGCACGTGTCCAGGTTGCCCGGGCGGACGCCTAGCGTGAGGATGCGTTGGGCATGTCTTGAGGGATGCGTTTTTTTACGTGTCCAGGTCGCCCAGGCGGACGTCTAACATGAAGATGTGTCGAGGATGCCTCGAGCCAGACGTTTGTTCTCACGTGTACAGGTCACCCAGGCGGATGTCTAGAATGAGGAGATGTTGAACATTTTTCGAGCGAAACGTTTGTTCTCACATGCCCAGGTCACTCAGGCTGACGTCTCACATGAAGATGCGCTGAGGATGTCTCGAGCGAACCACTTGTTTTCACGTGTCCAGTTCGCCCAGGCGGATGTATAGCATGAGAATGTGTTGAGGATGCGTTGGGCGAAACGCGTGTTTTCACGTGTCCAGGTCGCTCAGGCGGATGTCTAGCATGAGGATTTTGACAGGATGCCTCGAGCGAAGCGCTTGTCACCAGCGCGTTCCGTAGCGCGCCCCCTTGGCACGTCCCGCGGTGCGCCCCCATGGCACGTCCCCTGGCACGTCGCTCGGCGCGTCCCTTGAGACGTTCCGCGGCGCGTCCTCCTGGCATATTCCCCCGTCGATTAGCTCTGGGGTAGGTACTATGTGTTCAGGCAGCTCGAGCTTAAGATCCAAATCAGTTCGGTCAGGACTCGGATGCAAAGGACGACTCGATCCACAACGCTATAGAGCACATTCGCGGCATGGCACATTGGAAAGAGCGTGTTCTACCGCTGCTGGCGGAAAACCGGGGGGGGTCACTACCGGTTCGAACCCCTCCCCCCCCCCCCCTCCGGAAAACCGGGGGGGGTCACTACCTGTTCGAACCCCTCCCCCCCCCCAGTTCATCTTGAAAAGGGGGGGGGGGTCACTACCGGTTCGAACCCCCCCCCCCCCCCTCGAAAACCGAGTGGGGGTGCGGACAGTGGTGGGGACGGTGTTGGTGGGGACAGTGGTGAGGGGACAGCGGGACAGTGGTGGGCACAGTGGGACAGTGGGACAGTGGTGGGGACGGTAGTGGTGGGGACAGTGGTGGGGACAATGGTGGGAACGGGGGGGACAGTGGACAGTGGTGGGGACGGTGGTGGTGGGGACAGTGGTGGGGACAGTGGGAACGAGGTGGAAACAGTGGGATGGTGGAGGGTACAATGGTGGTGGGGACAGTGGTGAAGGCGGTGGCGAGGACGGCGGTGGGACAATGGGACAGAGGTACAGTGGGGACAGTGGTGGGGACAGTGGGGACAGTGGTGGGAACAGTGGGACAGCTCAGTGGGACAGCGGAGGAGTCAGTGGGACAGCGGGGACAGTGGGGATAGTCGGGCAGTGGTTGGGTCCGTGGAGACAGTGGGGAGAGTGGAACCGTGGTGGGAACAGTGGTGGGAACAGTGGGGACAGTGCGACAGTGGTGGGGGCACTGGTGGGGACAGTAGGGACGGTGAACCAGTGGGGACAGTGGTGGTGAGGACAGTAGTGCTGGGAACAGCAGTGGGATGTGATGTGGACGGTGGTAGGGACCGGAAGTCGTTCGCTGGCGGTGCGTGGGGGGAGGGGGGTCGAACTGGTAGTGACCCTCCTGTGGTTTTCGAGGGGAGGGGGGGGGGGGATTCGAACCGGTAGTGACCCCCCCCCCCGTTTTCCAGATCCGGAGGGGGGGGGGGGAACCGGTAGTGACCCCCCCGGTTTTCGAGGGGGGGGGGTTTTAGGGGGGGGGAGGGGGGGAGGTCCAGCAGGGGGGGGGGGGGGATTTTCGGAGGGGGGGGGGGGGCGACCCGCGGGTTCCGGAGGAAAAGGTTGGCAATTTTCCACAGTAAAGCGGCGGTGGGCCACGCTCTCTCGCACATTGCAATTCAGCACGGCGCAGCGCAGCACGGCCCTTGACACGTTTCATCAAGATCGATACACTGCGCATTGCATTTGCCCGTCACCCAATCAGGTGTCTTTGACAACGCTGCCATGCGTTACATTTCTATATTCCTTTCCGGGTTCGTGGGTCGATCATGTTGATGTCCACCGTCTCCCACGCCTGCACCAGCAAGTAAGCTTCCATTGTGAATGCTCCATCTTGCAATCCTGCGTGAACCCAATCGATGACAGCGCTGCCCACTGCGTCCACCTTGCGGCGCAATTCAGGGTCCAGCAGGATGCCGCGAAGCGCGAACTTGAGCCCGCACGTCATTTGCAGTTTTTCGAAGCGGTCCTTTGTCATTATCCCTGCAGTCCACCGAGCGCGCGCCGCGCTGACAAGATCAGCAGCAGCGAACACATCTGCATTGGTCTGCCATCGGAACCGCGTGGGATCTGCATAGGAAACTTCAACGAAGTTTGCTGGGTCCAACTCAGCCGTGCCTGAGTTTTTCTTGAGCATGTTGCAATGTCGCAAGCACGGCTTGAAGCCGTTGGCACCGTTGCTGTTCAACGACATGCGGTGGCCATCGAGATCGGCGATTATGGACTCTGTGCGCGCGACGATGAGAACGTTCCTGCCGAAGACAGTAATAGTGGCGCCTGCCGTCGCAAGGCCAGTCTGAGACAGCAGGTGCAGCTTCAGGTGCTTGCCAAACATGGCGCCCAAGCCGCCCTGGATCAGCTTGAACCAGCTGTGGCGAACAACGACAGGTGTGAACAATGCGTTGTCACCGAGAATGTTGTGCACTCCGAGCTCCAGGAATGCGAATGAGAGGTTCATGTTCTTCCTGCCGTCGGCGACGCTGAACATGCCGCCATGGCTGAACTCATCGTGCCCGATAGCCAGTGCCCACCGGTGCCCCTGGCTCGGATCACCGCATCGCGACAGCGCGGTCGCGAACAACTCTTGCAGCGCTCGGCTCTCCGATGCCATCGTGGAGAGGGGCCTGTTGGGCTCCGCCATGGGCCAGTTCCAGCTTCCGCCCTTTACCGGCGGCGTCACCGACTCGTGGCGGACGCGACTAAACCGTTCGTGGCTCGTCTTGTTGATCTCCTTCTCCGATGCCTTGGCGGGTAAATCCGCCGCCACCTCGCGAAGCGTCTTCATTACCTTCGCGAGCCCCTGCTGCGTCGCGCGTCCGCGAAGGAGGAGCTTTTGCAACGCATCTCGTTCCCGATCGAACCTTGGGTGGGGGGAGGAGGGCGGGGCCTCGATCGAGAGCGATATCGACGGGCGCCCTTCGGCGCCATGCCGCTGGAGCACAAGCGGCGCGGCGCTGGAGGGCCACGCCGCCGCGCCCTTTGCGCGCCGTTGAAGCGCAAGCGCTTGAGCCAGGAAACGGCTACGGACAGAAACAGCACGCGGCGCTGAATGTGGCAGGAGCGGCGCAAGCGCTGGATGGGGGAGGAACAGCGTAAACGCTGGGGGAGGGAGGAACACAAAGCGCTGGAGGAGGGAGGAGCAACGCAAGCGGTGGTGGTGGGTGGCGTGGGGGGAACAGCGCAAGCGCTGGAGGGAGGAGGAGCAGCGCAAAGCGCCGGAGGGGGGAGAAGCAGTGCAAAGCGCTGGAGGAGGGAGGAGCAGCGCAAGCGCTGGTGGGGGAACAGCGCAAGCGCTGGACGGGTAGAGGAGCAGCGCGAAGCGCTGGAGTCGCTGGAGGAGGGAGGAGCAGCGCAAACCGCTGGCGGAGGGAGGAGCAGCGCAAGCGCCAGTGGAGGAACAGCGCGAGCGATGGGGGGAGGAGCAGCGCAGAGCGCTGGAAGGGGGGAGGAGCAGCGCAAAACGCTGGATAGTGCCAAAAAACATAAACGAACGCATCCCGTATCTTCCACAACGTCAACCGTCGAACTTATGGAAGATCTGGCAGATCAACTCAATATCCGGAAACATTAAGTTAAGATGTGTAATATCAATTTAATATAACTTTCCAGAACTTCGGTATATCTCTCAAACATTTTTAAACGAAATCAGCAAAACCCGGAGAACCCGGATAACCCAAAAGAGCGCCGGAGAACCGTGAGAACCCGGAGGGCCTTGAAAACCCCGCAAAACCCCCAGAGAACCTTCGGATTACCCAACCCCCCGTAACCCCCAAAGAACCCCCGGAGAACCCCCATAGAACCCCCGGAGAACCCCCAGAGAACCCCCATGCAAAGAACCCCCAAAGAACCCCAAGAGAACCCACAGAACCCGGAGGGCATGGGATCTAAGCCTCTATGGGCATGGGCGGACCCTGTCTTCGGCGTCGCGCCCCTGGCCAGACATAGTTGTCTGGCAACTAGGGCGTGCGCGTCGCGATGCGTTCGGTGTTCCGGCAAGAACAATCTTGACGCGAGTGACTCCGATACAAGCGTGGATCAGTGAGGTTCTTACTTTTTCCGGACAGGGCGTAGGCCCAGGGTTCTATTTTAGTTGGTAAACCTGTCCCCGGTGCCTCAACTGAGGTGGGCCGGCGGATTCTTTCCCTGATGAATATCGAGGTCGAGGTGGGCCGGCGGATTAAAATTTGAAGATGTGTCAGGCGAAACGCTTGTTTTTTGAACTCCCGATTGATCAACCACAGGGTGCGGGCCACTCTTTCGTGTGTTGATGTCTCGAGCGAAACGCTTGCTCCGCAGAGTTACCGCGGATGTCTCGAGCGAATCGCTTGTTTTGTAGAACTTGAGGAATCTGGGCGCACCAGAGATTTGCCTTCTCCAGGTGCACGAACCCGTGTGTTTTTACGTATGTGCCTGTAGATTTGCCCTCTCTAGGTGCACGAATCCATGTGCTTTTACGTTATGTGCGTATAGATTTGATTTCTCCAGGGGACCCCACCCCAGCACGACCAAACCGCAGCACGACCACACCCCAGCATTACCGTACCCCGGCACGACCCCACCCCAGCAAGACCATCACCCAGCACGACCACACCCCAGCACGACCTCACCACAGCACGACCACACCCCAGCACGACTACCCCCCCAGCACGACCACGCCCAAGCACGACCACGCCCCAGCACGACCACCCCCCAGCACGACTACCCCCCCAGCACGACCACCCCCCAGCATGACCACCCCCCAGCACGACCACACCCCAGCACGACCACTCCCCAGCACGACCACACCGCCTTGGTTGAGTGGTTGCCTGTCGTCGTGGAATGTTTCGTGGGGTGTCTCGTGGACTGTTTCGTGGGGTGTCTCGTGGAATGTTTCCAGGAAAACGTTGAAAACGGTCGCCCGTGTCTCGTGGAATATTTCGCGGGGTGTCTCGTGGAAGTGCCCGTCGCCCAATACGGTGTCATGAAAACGTTTCCATGCATGCGGTTCTATATCCTTTTCCAGGTTCGTGGGTCCATCATGTTCATGCGAAGTCGCAGTAACAATCGCTGCAACACCGTCGTCGCGCACAACAGGGCTTTGTACCGTAGCATCGCGCTTGGGCGGGCGATGATTATGGCGCCGCTCATGTGGGCGGCACGTCTGAAACAATCCCTGGACGTGCGCATGCGGTATAACGTACATCCGGAGCGTTCGTCCAGTGAAGGCCCAACCGACCCAAAAGCAGGCCTCCACCTCGTCAGCGTCTTGGCAAGTCCGCGCAGAACGAGGCCCCGATGGGCTACGTACCTGAGGTCATGCGCTGCCAGCGGTCGCCCATCAGCAGTCCGAGTGGCCCGAGTGGCCGCATCTGAGCCCAGACGGCGTACAAGGACAGCGAAACAACGGTTCCTCCATCCCCCGCAGCTGCGCATGTCCGCATATGGAAGGGGCCAAAGCGCCCGAGGTGGACTCTGACGATAAGGTCGATATATCGTCATTACGCATGCGGTCGAAACCCTCAAGCCCCCGGGAAAACATATCACGATAGCAGGGCAGATGACAGCAATCGTCGAGGACAAGTTGCGTCTTTGCACCGCCCGCTCCAGGGAGCGAAAGGAACAGATTCAGGATTTGGAGGACGATCTCACCGACGAGCGAGGGGCTGTCCAGTTTCTCGAGCAGCAGGAGGCGTAGCGGCAAGCAGCGGGCAACACAAGGATGAACGACCTTCGTGCACGCCAGTGGTGGCCATGGTGGTGAGTCCACTGAGGCGAACTGGCCAAGTACAGTTGCTGGGCGAGCAGGGCCTTTAACAACATCTAGAGGTCAGCGGGCCATGCAGAAACGGATGGGCGGCGCAGGGCATCGAGCTGTCGCCGCCCCCCGTCGGCCTTCGCACGACATTGCCGACCAAATGAACCTCTCATGGCCCTGAGGATAAATCACATGAGGACAACGAGGGGGGGGCGGGATGATCGGGACAGCAGGCCCGTGCCCCCCAGCAGGAGCTGGAGGACGGCGATTCGACATGGTCGAGACGCGAGGCCCACCCGGGGGGGGGGGGGGGGGGGAGCCCCCGGCAACAGCGGGGTGGCGGCGTGCGGCCCGGGAGGCGCGGCGCACCTTGGGGGGGATGGTGAGGGAGGGCGGGAGGGACAATTCTTGGGAGCAGGCAGGGGCAGCAGGAGGAAAGGGAGGAGGTGGAGGAGGGACGATTCAAGATGAGGGGTGTGGGCGAGGACGGGGTGACGCAGGAGGAGGCGGAGGAGGAGGGGGAGGAAGAGGAGGAGTCGGAGGAAGAGCTTGGGAAGTAAGGAGGAGAAGCAGGAGGAGGGGTAGGAGGAGGATAAGGAAAGGGGTTATGCGTTTTGCACAGTATTCCTTTCCTCTCCTCCTCCTCCTCCTCTTCCTCCGTTTCACGTCATGCGCACAGTGTGTCCCATAGCGTTATGCGCAATCTGTATCGATGCAGCTGCGTACATCGGAGGAGGAGAAGGTGGTGGCAGATGAACGCCAGGATGAGAGGAAATGGAGGATGAAGACGGACGAGGACGAGGACGAGCAGCAGCAGCAGGAACTGAAGTGGAAGGGGCGGGAGGAGCAGGATGACCAGGGGAAGGTGGAGGAGGGGAGATGAGGGGAACGACAGCGATGAAGAAGGATTCGGATCCAGAACAATGCCCTGCGCTTGGTGGAGAGCGCCATTCTGAACGACGGGAGCAACGATGAAGCAGAATTCGGATCCAGAGGAGTGACCCGCGTTTTGGTGCAAACGCCATTTTCAACGACTGGAGCAAAGCGCCGATCCGAAAATGAGGCCCACGCTGCAGCGGGAACATTTCAGATTTTGGAATCAGTCGGATTATCATCCAACCAGACAACAAATCATTTTTGTGCAACGTTGTGTGTAACAACAGTGCGCGGAGAGGGCGGATTACCTTCTGTACAGGGTGTTGCGTACATAGGAGGAAGCGGCGGGTGAGCAGGAGGATGCGCAGGAGGAACATGAGGAGGAGGAGGGAGGAGGAGGACGAGGACAAACAGCAGCGGCAGGAGCTAGAGTGGAAGGAGCGGGGGAGCAGGTGGACCAGGGGAAGGTGGAGGAGGGGAGATGAGGGAAACGGCAGCGATGAAGAAGGACTCGGATCCAGAACAATGCCCCACGCTTGGTCGAGAGCGCCATTCTGAACGACGGGGGCAAAGCGCCGATCCGAAAATGAGACCCACGCTGCGGCGGGCACACCATTTATAATTTGAAGCACCGAAAACAGTCGCATTGCACCTGTATCGAATCCTGTGTGTAGCAATGAGTACTCGGAGAAACCGTACACCTTCCGGAGAGGAGAGAGTAGAGGAGGTGGAGCAGGAGGAGGAGGGAGAAGGAGGAGGAAGAGGAGGAGGGAGGAAGATGATGCAGAGCAGGAGTCAGGAGGAGAACGTGAGAGTGGCAGTTGTCATTTACTGTTACCGTCGCCGTCGATGCTATCGCAGCCCCCTTTCTGTGCGGATGCGCATGTGCGCGAGGCAATCGCGCGCGCTTGCAGCCATTTTTGTTCCAAGGCGGTTATCGGAGCGCGGTGCTGCGAGCGACTGGAATTCCACACCGCGGGCTGGAGGAGTCGCAACAATGGCTGCCGGGGGCTGGCTGCCCTGGCGGCTGGCAGCCAAAAGCGTTGGGGGGTGGCCTTCGGATTCCGGCGTCGTAAAGATATCACCACGGGCCAGCAAAGACACGTGCGGAGCCAGCGCCGTCAGGGTTGGTGACCGTGCGCAAGGACGGGGGAGGACAACGTCAGATTTAACGCAGAGGTGAGGCCACGGCCCTGGCAACCCATAGGCCTCCCGTCTCGGGCTTTCAGAGGCTCGGAGGTCGATTCAGCTCGAGAACTGCCGCAGAAAAGTTGGGGTCCAGACGTATGGTCGTAGTGCTTTCACGGCGCACTGATCTGCTCACGACGATGAGGTGCCTCCTGCTCCTATCCTCCTTCCTTTCTCTCCTCCCTTCCCTCCTTCTCCTTCCCCTTTTCCCTCCCTCTCCTCCTCATCCCTGCCCCTCCTCCTCCTCATCATCAGCATCAGCATCATCAGCATCATCAGCAGCATCATCATCGTCATCATCATCATCATCATCCTCATCCTCCTCATCGTCCTCATCCGCCTCCTCCTCCTCCTCCTCCTCCTCCTCCTCCCCTTCCTCCTCATCATTACCCTCATCCTCATCCTCAGCAGCAGCAGCGGCAACATCATCATCACCTTCTGCATCATCGCCATTCCTGCCCCTCCCCCTTCTGTCCCCCCCTCTTCAGTCCTCCTCCTGCTGGATGGGTGAAGAGGCGGTAAGCAGAAGCAGGGGGCGGGGGGGAGAGGGGGGCGGAGGGGGGGGGGGAAACGGAGCAGGGGAGGACGAAGGAGGACGAAGAGGGTGGGGAATGAGGATGGAGGAGGGGGAGGAGGAGAGGGAGGAGGAGCAGGCGAAGGAGAATGATCGGGATCGAGATTGGGAGAGGTAGCGGCACCGAAGGCGATGGGGGAGAGGAACCGATGAGGAGGTGGAGGAGCCGCATGAGGATAGGATATCAGTAGCTGGACGAGCAGCAGGTGGAGGGAAACGAGGAATGGGTGGGCGAGCAGGAACGAGACGATGAGTAGCGTGATGGGCAGATATGGATGGATGGATGGATGGATGGATGGATGGATGGATGGATGGATGGATGGATGGATGGATGGATGGATGATGATGATGATGATGATGATGATGATGATGATGATGATGATGATGATGGGGAGGTTGAGGAGGAGGAGGAGGAGGAGGATAGATATGGTGCTGATTATGATGATGCTGAAGATGCTGTTGATGAGTATGAGGGGGAGGAGGAGGAGGAGGAAGAGGAGTAGGAGTTCAAGTGTAAACCCAAGACTCATCAACGATGTTGCAAGAAGCCCACCTTCCAAGCCTCCTTACACTAGGCCACTAAAGGGTTGTATTTTTCACTGAGGGAAGTTCCCCGTGGGAAGACAGCCGCCCGAAATTCCTGAACCATGCCAGCGCAGTTCCTGCGACTTCAACGCAGCGAATCAACGTCACCGTCGCGTGCTGACGATCCTGAGGCGTGCCAGAACACCTTGCTTGGGACTTCAACTCCGCAAATCAACGTGACAGCCGCGCCTTGACAGTCACACATCGGGGCAGAACACCATGTTTGGGACGTCAGCCGCAACAGTCCTTGAAGATGTTGCACGCTCGTAAATGGAATATGCGTGGCGCTGATGCGAGGGCCACAGTTTGAAAAGGGACCGCCGTCCATCTGCGGAACTCAAACAACCGTTCAAGACGAATGTGTGTGGTGCTAGGACGAGAGCCACATTTTGAAAAGGACCCCCCCGCCATCCCTCAAACCCTTGCAAACTGTTGCGACGAATGAGCACGGCGCGAAAGGGAGAGCCACATTTACAACACCGCCGGCCCTCAACCCGTGACACCGTTGACAATTTTTCAGACGAATGTGCGCGGCGCGGCGCTGAGGCGAGAGCCACATTTTGAAATCGGGCCCGTCCTCCATCCGTGAAACCGTTGCAAAGTCTGAATTTAAGGACCATGAATTGTTTGAATGTCTCCGGCGAAACGCCCGGCCCGTCTTACCGACGCGTCTCGGGTGCAACAGGGAGGAGTTATTCATAGGGAGATGGGATTGAGGTTGATGATGAGGATGATGACGATGAGGACGAGGACGAAGATGATGATGTTACTGCTGGTCCTGATGACGATGGTGATGATGGCGATGAGGAAGATGGCGGTTGCTGAATATCATGATGGTGGAGGTTGTGGTCATGATGACGATGACGAGGATGAGGGTGAGGTTGGCGATGATAATGATTGTGACTGATGCTAGTGATGATGATGAGGATGAGGTTGCGGTGGCGATTATACTCGTGATGGTGATGGTGTGTTTGTGATGATCATGATGATAGTGAATATGCTAACCATGATGATGATGGTGATGATGATGGTACCGATATAACGATGAGGATGATACCGATGATGCTGATGACGATGATGCTAATTACGATGCTGATACTAATAGGATGATGATGATGCTGATAATGCTGATGATGATGGCTGGTCATGCTGCTGATGATGATGATGATGCTGCTGCTGATGATGATGATGATGGTGGTGGTGCTGATGGTGGTGCCGATGGTGATGGTGATGGCCATGATGATGATGATGATGATGATGATGATGATGATGATGCTGATGCTGATGATGCTGATGATGATGATGATGATGCTGATGCTGATGCTGATGCTGATGCTGATGCTGATGCTGATGCTGATGCTGATGTGGTGGAGGAGGAGGGGCATGAGCAGAAGGAGCAGGGAGAGGCGGAGGGTGCATTAGTAGCAGGAGCTGCATGCAACAGTCGGGCCAGGAGCAAGGGCAGGAAGAAACGGATGTGGAGTTGGGATGTAATGTGATAGAGGTGTGCGAGACGTCGTGTACGTGCATGGGTGGCTGGGAGACTTGGAAGGGAAAATGTGAGTTGCTGAAGAGACAGAGGAGGGAGGACAGAGGAGGAGAGTGGAGCAATGGAGGTGCGGACGGAGGCACGGAGCATGTCGCATGGCGGGGGGAGGAACGAAAACAGGAGCAGAAGGAGAACTAGGGTAATCCCAGGATGCGCCAATGATTCTGCAACGAATCTTCCCGTCCCTACAAGTGTTACTGTTCACTATGGGGAGGGACGCCTTGATAGACGAGCTCCCCGTGGGCGTGCCGCTCAGGCGGGAGCCCTGTTTTGAACAGCATCCGCTCTGCAACACCCTTATGTGCTAGGTATGCCAGTATGTGTCTTCATGTTACCTTGGTGTCAAGCGTGAGCCCTGCATTGAAAAGGAGGCACGCGCCATCCGTGCAATCGTTGTGCACTGTATAACTCAGGAACATGAGCATTGGATGTCTCAGGCAGGAACCCCGTTTGGAGAAGGAGCCGCCCTCTATTTGTGAAGTCCTTGCGCATGTTAGAATTTCTGGACGCATTGGAAGCACGCAGCGATGCTCCATTTGGCATGGGAGCCGCCGTCCAAACGTGTGTACCGCTGTCTCATTTCTCTAGGGCCCGTGCGCGTGGTTCTGGGGCGACATCCAAACTTTCTACATGGCACACCTTCGATGCGTGACGGCGTACAAGCTTCTGGACGAATGTGCGCGGCGGTGAGGCGAAAGCCACATTTTGGAAACGTCGCGTTGCGCATGTCATAAGCGTGATTGTTGGCAGGTTCGAATGTTCAAGACGCGGGATCGGTCGCTGGGGAGTGTCATGCCAAACGCATGGCCATCCCCCCCGACACGTTTGGTGGTTCGACAGGCAGCAAATGATCCGGAAGAATGATGTTGATAATGACGATGACGATGACGAGGATATCCCGCGTCAACGTACCCCGTGGGAGACGAAGGTGACAGAGGCACCCAGGACCCCCCCTTGAACCTACTCCATCCTAGCAAGCGGGCGACGGGGGAGGCACCCCGCGTCGGGGGTCGTCCGTTCCTGCGCCGCAGAAGGAACCCCTGCCGCCAGGCCCCACTGGAGGAGAGGGCAGGAGGGCGCGCGGCGAAGGGGCCACCCCAGCCAACGAAGGGGGGGGCCACCCCACGGGCGCAAAACATTCTCAAGCAGGCCCTGGCTCACCTCAGCAAGGAGCGCTGGTCTCCGAATTGGGGGACGGGGGGCTCGAGCCCCCCTAGCGCGCGGGGCGAGCCCCGAGCGGGCCCCCCCTCCTTCCGGCCCAGTTCCGCACCGTGGCCGACAGGGGCGGGGAGGGGGCCCGCGACGGGCCCCCGCGAGACCCGAGAGGCGGCCAGGGGGAAGGGCTGGCGGGCGTTGGGGTGCGATCCAAAGCGCCCGTTCACCAGCCGCCCGGACCGAAGGGCTCCCCCACCTGACCGCAGGGGTGGGGTTGGCGGGAGGGTCTGTCCCCGCGGGGGAGGCCCCCTTCCCGACCGGCCCCTGGCTTGCGAACCCCGCGGCTGGTCGGGGAACACGCCGAATGGGCACAGTCCGCCGTCGGTCTGGCCTCGCCCCGCGGCGGGGCGCCCCCGGCCGAGGCGGGGCCCTGCCCGGAGGGGAATGCCTGGTGGGGGGAGGCCGCAGTGCCTGGAGGCGGAGGGGGGCTGGGGCTATTGGGCGCCCATCAACGCCCTGACCTTGTTGGACTGTTGGAGTGGCTAGCGCACCTGGCCCTTGGGTCCTCTTGGACGTCGGCCAAGGACCTCTCAGCCCAGTTGTTTGCCTCCGCGGCCCTCGTCCTGCTCGTCTCCCCAGAAGGGGGTGCTTCGTCGACGAGCGCATCCTGCGCCCGTTCTGCTACCCCTATGAATGGGCGCGGAGATATTCACGCCTCCGTACATGGGTCACGGCGGTGAAGGATGATCGGTAATTCCTGATGGAGCTGGACTGGCGGGGGGCAATCGACGACGACTTCTACAGGATGTGATCCGGACCCGGGGGGGCCAACCCCTCCGCGCGCCCAACCACTTGGTGGCCGAAGTCGAAGGGGAACGGGCTCGGCTGGGCTGGGGACCCCGCGGGGCCCCCATCCAGCGAGTGAAGCGCCGCGACCAGGATTACCCTTACTCCAAGGTGGTCGACTGCACC